TTTTTCTGTTCGTCAGTTTTTAGACTTTGCAATTTTTTTGCATTTTTCGATTGTATTTTACTTTCCGATTTTTTTGATTTTTGAATTCTCGATTTTACGTTTTTAATTCTTCGATTTCGGATTTTTCAATTTTCCGGTTTTTTAATTCTTCTATTCTCGATTTTTCGATTTTCCATTAATCATTAAATTTTTCGATTTTTCGGTTTTTTTTATTTTTCGACCTTCGATTTTTCAATTTTCGAGTATTCGATTTTCCATTTTCTGATTTTACGATTTTTCGATTTGCGATTTTTCGATTTTCCTTTTTCCGATTTTGTGGTTTTTCGATTTTTCTGTTTGTTTCAGTTTTTATGGTTCTGCGATTTGTTGTATTTTTCCATTTTTCGATTATTTTACTTTCCGATAGTTTGATTTTTGAATTTTTGGTTTTTTCATTTTTCGATTTCGGATTTTTCAATTTTTCGGTTTTTTAATTTTTCGAGTCTCGATATTTCGATTTTCGATTTTTCAGATTTGTGAATTTGTGTCCGTTTTTTAGATTTTTAGAATATTGATTCATCGAATTTTCGATTTTTGAGCATTTCGATTTTTCCATTTTTAGATATTTTTCGATTTTTTTTAATTTTTCGATTTTTCTGTTCGTCAGTTTTAGACTTTGCAATTTTTACTTTTCCACTTTTCTATTATTTTAGTTTCGGATTATTCGATTTTTGAATTTTCGTTTTTTCTCATTTTTCGATTTCCGATTTTTTAATTTTTCGATTTTTCGGTTTTTTAATTTGTCGATTCTCGATATTTCGATTTTCGATTTTCCAATCTCCGATTTTTCAATTTCCAGTTTTCGATTTTCCACTTTATGATTTTACGAGTTTTCGATTTTTCTGTTCGTCACTTTTTAAGCTTTGAAATTTGTTTACTTTTCGATTTTTGAATTGTCGACTTTTAGAGTTTTCAATATATGAATTTTCGAATTTTCTGTTTTCCTATTTTTCGATTTTTGAATTTTCCATTTTTCGGTTTTTTGATGTTTCAATTTTCAGGTTTTCAATCTTGCAAATTTCCGATTTTTCAGATTTGTGAATTTCCGGTTTTTCAATCGACCTACGTATTATATTCATTGAATTTTCGATTTTCGGTTTTTCCATTTTTAGATTTTCGATTTTTCAGTTTTGTATTTTCAGATTTTCTGTTTTTCGCATATCTGATTCATCAAATTTTCGATTTTTCGATATTTGATTTTCGAATTTTCGATTGTTCAGTTTTCCCATTCTTCAGCTTTTAGACTTCAATTTTTTTACTTTTCGATTTTCCAAATTTTCGAGTTTCAATTTTCAGATTTTTGATTTTTTGTTTTGCGATTTTGGTTTTTTGGTTTTTTGGTTTTTCGATTTCTCAATTTTCCAGTTTTTTAATTTCTCAATTTTTGTCTTAAATTCTTGATTTTTCAATTGTTTGAGATCTCGATTTATCGAGATTCGGTTTCTCAATTTTTTGACTTCTCGACTTTTCGACTCATCGATTTCTCGATCTTTGATTTTTCGAATGTTTTGATTTTTTAATTTGCCATTCTTTCAATTTTCGATTTTTCGTCTTTCCATTTTTAGATTTTTTGATTTTTCTGTTCGTCAGTTTTTAGACTTTGCAATTTTTTTGCATTTTTCGATTATATTTTACTTTCAGATTTTTTTGATTTTTGAATTCTCGATTTTACGTTTTTAATTCTTCGATTTCCGATTTTTCAATTTTCCGGTTTTTTAATTCTTCTATTCTCGATTTTTCGATTTTCCATTAATCATAAAATTTTTCGATTTTCGTTTTTCCGCTTTTGTGGTTTTTGGATTTTTCTGTTTGTTTCAGTTTTTATGGTTCTGCAATTTGCAGCTTTTAGATTTAAATTTTGTGATTTTTCGATTTCCCACTTTTCGATTTTATGATTTTTCTTCGATCGTCGTTTTTTCGATTTTCATTTTTTCGATTTTTTGATTGTTCAATTTTGCAATTTTTTTACTTTTCGCTTTTTCGAGTATTTGTTTCATTGAATTTTCGAGTTTTCGATTTTCGATTTTTCGGTTTTTCCATTTTCCGATTTTCGATTTTTCGATTTTCCATGTTTAGATATTTTTCGAGTTTTTTTTATTTTTCGATTGTTCTGTTCGTCAGTTTTGAGACTTTGCAATTTTTACTTTTCCACTTTTCTATAATTTTAGTTTCGGATTATTCGATTTTTGAATTTTTGTTTTTTTTTCATTTTTCGATTTCCGATTTTTTAATTTTTCGGTTTTTTAATTTGTCGATTCTCGATATTCCGATTTTCGATTTTCCAATCTTCGATTTTTCGACTTTTTTTTCCAGTTTTTTGATTTTTGAATTGTCGACTTTTAGAGTTTTCAATATTATGAATTTTCGAATTTTCGGTTTTCCTATTTTTCGATTTTTGATTTTTCCATTTTTCGGTTTTTTGATTTTTCAATTCTCGGTTTTTCAATCTTGCAAAATTTTCGATTTTTCAGATTTGTGAATTTCCAATTTTTCGATCGACCTACGTATTAGATTCATTGAATTTTCGATTTTCGGTTTTTCCAATTTTAGATTTTTGATTTTCCAGTTTTGTATTTTCAGATTTTCTATCTGATTTATCAAATTTTCGATTTTTCGGCTTTTCGATTTTTCGATATTTGATTTTCGAATTTTCGGTTGTTCAGTTTTCCATTTTTCAGCTTTTAGACTTCAATTTTTTTACTTTTCGATTTTCCAAATTTTGGAGTTTCAATTTTCAGATTTTTGATTTTTCGATTTTCTTTTTAAATCTTTGAATTTTTCGGTTTTGATTTTTCGAATTTTTGATTTTTAATTTTTCCATTCTTCGGTTTTTAGACTTCAATTGTCTTTCTTTTAAATTTGTCGATATTCTATTTTCCGCTTTTCAGAATTTTCAATTTTCAGTTTTCAGACTTTCGATGATTAGAATTTTGGATTTTTCAGTTTTATGATTTTTCGATTTTTAGAAAATTTGAGTAGTCGAATTTTCGATTTTTCAATTCATCGATTTTTCCATGTTCAATTTTTCAATTAAAATTTTGCGATTTTCAATTTGTCCATTGTCGATTTTTAGAATTTTCGGTTTTTCAATTTTTCAATTCTCAACTGTTAAGACTTCAATTTTTTGGTTTTCGATCTTCCAATTTTCAGAATTTCCAAGTTTCTTTATTCAGATTTTCGATTTTCCACTTTTTCGATTTTTCTGTTCGTTTCAGTTTTTAGGCTTTGCAATTTTTGTACCTTTATATATTTTGATTATTTTAATTTCCGATTTTTTTATTTTTGTTTTTTTTATTTTCCATATTACAAATTTTTGACTTTTCGATTTTTTGGTTTTCCCGCTTTTCAATTTTCGTTTTTGAGGTTTGTGAATTTCCACTTTTCGATCGACCAAGGTATTTGATTCATTGAATTTTCGATTTTTTGATTAGCCATTTTTAGATTTTCGATTTTTACGATTTGTATTTTTCGATTTTCTGTTTTTTGCATTAGTGAATTTCAGTTTTTCCCATTTTCGATTTGCCGCATATTTGATCAATCAAATTTTCGAAAAAGTTACCATGCTTACAAAAACTTCGAAACATCTACAATATTTCAAAGTATTCGGTTTTGCTATTCTTGATTTCTTCAATAAAATAAATTGAATCAGTCATTAACTTTTTTGAGACACCCTATATAACCAAATCTAAAAAATATTAATGCAGGGATAAATCACAAGTATAAAACTCATCATATTTTATACATTTAAGATAGGATTTATTCTGCAAAATTTTGAGGTGACGTCATAATTTTTTTAGAGGGGATAAGCAAATATATTTTAATTAAAAATGTATCATGTTTATCATGATTTTAAAACATCTGCAAGATTTCAAAGTATTCGATTTTGCAAATTCAAAATTAAATTGCAAAATATTGTTTTATAATTTTGATTTTTTTTCCAAAAATCTGGACGTTTCGGATAAAAACTCAACACGGAGTCATAAACTACATGTGTAGGACTATGTTACTGTATACAATTTAAAACCCATTTACTATGCATAAATTTGAAGTGACGTCATCACATTATTGGTGGGGATGATTAGACAAATTTAATAATTTTGCGACATTTATGAAAAAAATATCAGTTAACAAAAATGGCACGTTTTTATTATTAGTCCGTCCCGTTATTGTCAATAAAATTTTATAGGGTAAAATGTGAATTTCGTTGTAGTTTGAGCCTACCTACAAATTCTGCCCTTGAAGGATTTGGACCGCCTTCGGTGAGGGCAGGCAAAAACGATCCGCCCATAGGCTCAAAACATTTGCGTGCGATTGTACAAACGCGTGTATATGGACGTGCGATTACCGCGCGGACGCACCAATGTATGAACAATGTAACTCGTTTTTTTAATTTCTGTCAATCGATACGTCTCGGTTGATTCAAGAAGCCCGCTAATGCACAATTTCCTCTCTCCGCCGAAACTAATTAAATAATTGAATCGACTCCAGTTCGCCCGTCACAAAGTGCATCCAGTATCAGTTTCAGGTATGTTATTAATTTCCGGCGTTTCAACATGAGTGACGCGAAAACTGCGGTTTTTGACTCGACTTCATTGAAACAACGATGTGCAAATATAGACATGAGTAATGAAGTTGTTACCCACGCGAGCTTTTTACGTTCATTAGATAAACAACGGCGGTACTTAATTGTGATTTCTCGTCTTCATTATTTATCCTACTCACATACATATACGTTAGATGATTTACCGCGCTCGCTTGTTGCTCGTGCGGCAAACTCCATCCATCATCGCCTAAGATTCTCCGCGTCACAAAAACTAACTCGAAGAGATTAATCAGACTGATAGTCCAAACCGGTTGTCGATATCTCGCGCCATTCCAGAGCGGTCCGCAAAAGATACGATACGATCATTCGGATGCAGAAGAATACATCCGCGACGGTCGTTTTGAGAAGTGACAAGTACCTTTCTCCTGCGAGCCGGTGGCACGATGAAATACGTCGTGACGCAGTGGTCCCTCAGGTACTGATTGCGCGTGGCGCCGTTACCTGGTTCCACTTCGTATTCGCCCCCTAGGTAATCCAGAGTCGCTTGGGTGATATGCACTCTCCTGAAAAAGAACACGTGCGTAACAAGTCCATTACTCACGGGGCGTGAGTAACGGGCGCATTATACAACGCCGCGTCGAGCGGACGCCTCTTATGGCATCAATAACTTAATAAAGCACGGATTCGTCCTTGTGTCCGTATTCGCGCTAATTGCGGCAATTGAAACGAGCAAAGGTTATAAATTATTTATCCACGGGTGAAGCTGTTGCACTTTCCTTCGGCGTTTATCTAACTGGTACGGAATCTGTGAGTCATTCGTAACTAGAAAGCTAGAGCGCTCCCTTTTTCGAACTAGAATTTAAACGAAAATCATAACCAAGCTGGAACGACTGTTCGTAATAAAGTTATTCGAATTATGTGGGTAAACGGGAAAATCGCACAAAGTGAATCCGGGTGTATGAATTAAGCCGACTCTAGATACAATACTAGTTTCACATGGGGGCGAAAGTCCTTCGTGTGAATTTGTCAAATACCCACATCCATTATACAACCCTAAAAGAGAATTGAAATATCTTCTGGAACAACGGTTCAGCGGTTGATATCTCAATTACTGAAATTGCCGCCCGGAGATAGAAAGGGGTGGAATAGAATTAATTTGGCAAAGTAATGAATACATATGTTAACCCGCGCAATTATTCAACAGTCGGAATTTAGTTTATCGGAAAGTGGATGCTGTGCACGTGTGACAATCGCGCGCTGTGCGCATGTCACCATTGGAAACAAATACAATATCACAACATCGATTTATTTATTATCCACCCCACAAAAACTGCCATCACTCCTCGACGAACAAAAGCAGAAACATCCCTCAAGAATCGCTCCAGAAATTGGTTTAATTTATATTTCGGACACCAGCAGAAAAGCCGCTTAATCATGAAAAATGTTTCTCGACGCTGGAGAACTCGTTTGATTCGCAGACCAGAGCGCACTCAGGCCAATATAGACTCTAAGCGATTTATTTAGAAGCCGTTTCAACCATCTGGTCGCACTTTACAACGTATAATGTTCCCGAATGACAAAATTTATATTTCAAATGGTAAAACGCTCATTTTGTCTTCTCACCATGAAATGACGTAATCTCCAAATTTTAGAATAACTAGTTGATGTAATTTAAATTTTATATCGTCCGTTTATTCGGATGTTTCGATTAGTCAGTTTTTCAAATTTTGACGTTTCTAAATTTCCAGTTTTCCGATTTCTGGAGTAATCTTTTTTTATTTTCCCATTTCTCGACTTCCCAAAGTTTTAATTTTTCAATGTTTCGATTTTTTAACCTTACCATTTTCCGACTTTACTTTTTTTAGTTTTCCGATTTCTCAATTTTCCAATTTTTTAATTTCTCAATTTTTTGGATATTTCTTTCAGTTTTCAGTTTTTCCGATTTTCCAATTTTAAGATGTTTTCGGTTCTCCAGCTATCCGATTTTTCAGTTTGAAATAAATACATTTTGCGATATTTTAATTGTTAAATGTTTTAAATTTAAAATTTTTCGATTTCTCAATTTCCCAGTTTTTTAATTTCTCAATTTTTGGATATTTCTTTCCGTTTTGGGATTTTTCAATATTTCGATTCTTCGACTTTTCGATTTTTTGACTTCTGGATTTTTCGATTTTTTATTTTCTGGATTTTTATTTTTCGTTTTTTAGATTTTAGATTTTTAAAATTTTCGATTGTTTTATATTTAGATTTCTCAATTTGTCAGTTCTTCTATATTTTTGACTCCTCGATTTCTCGACCTTTTGATTTTTCGAATTCTCGATGTCTCAATTTCAGTTTTTCGGTGCTTTAATTTTTCTTCTTTTTTTCAATTCTTCGATTTTTCGATTTCTCAATTTTCCAGTTGTTTAATTTCTGAATTTTTGGATATTTCTTTCCGTTTTGGCATTTTTCAATATTTCGATTCTTCGACTTTTCGACTTCTGGATTTTTCGATTTTTTATTTTCTGGATTTTCAGTTTTTCGTTTTTTAAACTTTAGATTTTTCAAATTTTCGATTGTTTTATATTTCTTATATTTCGATTTCTCATATTCTAATTTTTTAATTTTTAAAATTCTAGATTTTTCGATTTCTCGAGTTTTCAATTCTTCTATATGTTAATTTTTCAATTTTCCGAAATATTAAATTTTCGATTTTGGCCTATTTCGCTTTCTCAATTTTTCGACTTCTCGACTCCTTGATTTGTCGATTTTTTGAATTTTCGAATTCTCGATGTCTCAATTTCAGTTTTTCAAAACTTTAATTTTTCTCTATATATTTTTCAATTTTTCAACATTTTAGTATTTTGACTTTTCAATTTTTCGTTTTTTAAACTTTTTCAATTTTTCGACTGTTTTATAGGTACATTACTTCGATTTTCTATTTTTTTAAATTAATTTTTCGATTTTCCAATTTTCCATGTTTCGATTTTTCAATTATTGGATTGGTCAATTTCTTGATTTTTTTAAATTTTAGATTTTTCAATATGTCAATTTTTCAATTTTTTGATTTTTTTAATTTTGCCATCTGGGTTTTTCGGTTTCTCAATTTTTCAACTTCTCGACTTTTCGACTCCTCGATTTCTCGATATTTTGATTTTTCAACTTTTCAAATTTTGACGTTTCTAAATTTTCAATTTTCCAATTTCTGAAGTAATCTTTTTTTATTTTCCCATTTCTCGACTTCCCAAAGTTTTTTGATTTTTCACTTCTTTAATTCTTCAATTTTTCGATTTTCTAGGTTTTTGATTTTTCAATCTCTCGCTTTTTTATGCTTAGGATTTTTCGACTTTGTTTTTTTAGATTTTGGATTTCTCAATTTTCCATTTTTTTAATTTCTCAATTTTTTGAATATTTCTTTCAGTTGTGGCATTTTTAATATCATGTTTCGATTTTTGCACTCCGGGATTTTTTGATTTCTCGATTTTTTACTTTTTGGATTTTCAATTTTTCGTTCAACTTTGGAATTTGCAATTTCTCGATTGTGTCATACTTCGATCCCCCAATTTTTAAATTCTTCTATATTTAAATTTTTCAATTTTGCGAATTTTTAACCGTCAGATTTTCCAATTTTTCTTTTTTAAAATTTTTCGATGTTTCAATTTTGTGATTTCTCGATCGCCTGATTTTTCAAATTCTGGATCTTTCGATTTTTATTTTTAGGTTTTCCAATTTTCGATTTTCCAATTTTTAGATGTTTTCGATTCTCCAGTTATCCGATTTTTCAGTTTATCGATTTTTAAATAAATAAATTTTGCGATATTTTAATTGTTCAATGTTTTAAATTTTAGATTTTTCAGTTCTTGAATATTTCTAGTTTTCAATTTTTCAAATTTTGACGTTGCCAAATAGTCAGTTTTCCGATTTCTTAAGTAATCTTTTTTTATTTTCCCATTTCTCGCCTTCCCAAAGTTTTGATTTTTCACTTCTTTAATTCTTCAATTTTTCGATTTTTTAAGCTTACGATTTTTCGACTTTGCTCTTTTATTTTTCAATTTTTTGGATTTTTCTACCAGTTTTGGGCATTTTTAATATTTCGATTTTTCGACTCCTGGAATTTTTGGTTTCTCGATTTTTTACTTTTTGGATTTACAATTTTTCATTCAACTTTAGAATTTTCAATTTTTCGACTGTTTTATACTTCGTTCCGTCAATTTTTCAATTCTTCGGTATTTAAATTCTTCAATTCTTCTGTGTTTAAATTTTTCAATTTTCAGAATTTTTAAATTTTCGATTTTCCAATTTTTCTTTTTAAGAATTTTCGATTTTTCAATTTTGTGATATCTCAATTCATCAGTTTTTCAATTTTTAACTTTTCTTCTCGATTTTCCACTCCTCGATTTCTCGATCGACTGATTTTTCGATTCTCCAGTTATCCGATCTTTCAGTTTATCGATTTTTAAATAAATAAATTTTGCGATATTTTAATTGTTCAATGTTTTAAATTTTAGATTTTTCGATTTCTCGATTTTTTGATTTTTCAGTTCTTCAAATTTTGACGTTGGTAAATTGCCACTTTTCCGATTTCTCAAATAATCTATTTTTGATTTTCCCATTTATAGAATTCTCAAAGTTTCGATTCTTTAATTCTTCGATTTTTCGACTTTGCTTTTACGGTTTTTCGATCTCTCAGTTTTTCAGTTTTTTAATTTTCCAATTTTTGGATATTTCTTTCCGTTTTGGGATTTTTCAATATTTCGACACTTCGACTTATTTCCCAAAGTTTTGATTTTTCAATCTTTCGATTTTTTATGCTTACGACTTTTCGACTTGGCTTTTTTAGTTTTTCGATTTCTCAATTTTCCAATTTTTGAACTTCTCAATTTTTTGGATATTTCTTTCAGTTTTGGCATTTTTAATATTTCGATTTTTCGACTTTTCGATTTTTGCACTCCTGGATTTTTTGATTTCCGGATTTTTTACTTTTTGGATTTTCAATTTTTCGTTCAACTTTAGAATTTTCAATTTTTCGACTGTTTTATACTTCAATCCCCCAATTTTTTAATTTTTCTAGATTAAAATTTTTCAATTTTCCGAATTTTTAAACGTTAGATTTTCCAATTTTTCTTTTTTAGGATTTTTCGATATTTCAATTTTGTGATTTCTCGATTTCTCGATCGTCTGATTTTACGATTTCTAGAAGTTTCGATTTTTATTTTTAGGCTTTCAATTTTTCGATTTTTCAATTTTTAGATGTTTTCGATTCTCCAGTTATCCGATTTTCAGTTTATCGTTTTTTAAATAAATAAATTTTGCGATATTTTAATTGTTCAATGTTTTAAATTTTAGATTTTTCGATTTCTCGATTTTTCGATTTTTCAATTCTTCAATATTTCTATTTTTCAATTTTTCAAATTTTGACGTTGCTAAATGGTCAGTTTTCCGATTTCTCAACTAATCTATTTTTGATTTTCCCATTTCTCGACTTCTCAGAATTTCGATTTTTCAGTTCTTTAATTCTTCGATTTTTCGTTTTGTCGACTTTGGGTTTTTGGTTTTTCGATTTCTCAATTTTCCAGTTTTTTAATTTCTCAATTTTCCAGTTTTTTAATTTCTCAATTTCTGGATATTTCTCTCCGTTTTGGGATTTTTCAATATTTCGATTCTTCGATTTTTCGACTTCTGGATTTTCTAATTTTTTATTTTCTGGATTTTCAGTTTTTGGTTTCTTAAACTTTAGATTTTTCAAATTTTCGATTGTTTTATACTTCGATTTCCCAATTTTTCAATTCTTCGATATTTTAATTTTTCAATTTTTAAAATTCTAGATTTTTCTTTCTCGAGTTTTCAGTTCTTCTATATTTTAATTTTTCAATTTTCCGAAGTCTTAAATTTTTGATATTTATTTCGGTTTCTCAATTTTTCGACTTCTTGACTTTTCGACTCCTCGATTTCTCGATCTTTTGATTTTTCGAATTCTCGATGTCTCAATTTCAGACTTTGCTTTTTGGTTTTTCGATTTCTGAATTTCCCAATTCTTTGATTTCATAATTTATGGATATTTCTCTCCGTTTTGGGATTTTTCAATATTTCGATTCTTTGACTTTTCGACTTCTGGATTTTTCGATTTTTTACTTTCTGGATTTTCAGTTTTTCGTTTTTTAAACTTTAGATTTTTCAAATTTTCGATTCTTCGATATTTTAATTTTTTAATTTTTAAAATTCTAGATTTTTCAATTTCTCGAGTTTTCAGTTCTTTTATTTTAATTTTTCAATTTTCCGAAGTCTTAAATTTTCGATATTTATTTCGGTTTCTCAATTTTTCGACTTCTCGACTTTTAGACTCGTCGATTTCTCGATCTTTTGATTTTTAGAATTCTGCTTGTCTCAATTTCAGTTTTTCGATACTTCAATTTGTCTTCTATTTTTCATTCTTGGATTTTTTCGACTTTGCTTTTTTGGTTTTTCCATTTCTCAATTTTCCAGTTTCTTTATTTCTCAATTTTTGGATATTTCTTTCCGTTTTGGGATTTTTCAATATTTCGATTCTTTGACTTTTCGACTTTTTTATTTTCTGGATCTTCAGTTTTTCGTTTTTTAAACTTTAGTAGATTTTTCAAATTTTCGATTGTTTTATATTGCGATTTCCCAATTTTTCAATTCTTGGATATTTTAATTTTTCAATTTTTCGACTTGTCGACTTTTCGACTCCTCGCGTTCTCGATCTTTGGATTTTTCGAATTCTCGATGTCTCAATTTCAGTTTTACGATACTTCATTTTTCTTCTATATGTTTTTCAATTTTTCGATATTTCACTTTGCGATTTTTTAGTATTTTGACTTTTCGGGTTCTGGAGTTCTAGGTTTCTCGACTTTTTACTTTTTGAATTTTCAAGTTTTCGTTTTTTAAACTTTAGATTTTTCAATTTTTCGACTGTTTTATAGGTACTTCGATTGTTCAATTTTTCAGTTATTATCGGAATTTTTTATTTTTCGATTTTCCAATATTTTTAATTAATTTTTCCATGTTTCAATTTTTCAGTTATCCAATTGTTCAATTTCTCGATTTTTTTAAATTTTAGATTTTTCAGTATGTCTATTTTTCAATTTTTCGATTTTTAGATTTCCCGGCTTTTTAAGTTTTCGATTTTTAAAATTTTTGGATATTTTAATTTTTGGATTTTTCAAATTTTTGATTCTTCGCTAATTAAATTTTTCGCTTTTTGGATCTTTGTTAAAAAAATTGTTGCATATCAAAATCAAGTGATATTATGTTTGTAAATAAAACATTCAAATAATAGCTATTTCCCGCAGAAATTCTTTACGCTTAGAGTCGACATTCGCCTGAACGCGTTCCGGTCTGTGGATCAAACAAGTTTGACTTCCATAATTGAACTCCACCGACTTTGTTTGTCGTTACCCAAATCGCTGTTGAATATTTTACGAAATAGAATTTCATTCGGTTCTTAATTACCGCATAGTTGCAGGAGTCGGAAAAAAGCCAAATCAACACCAGAAACACGATGTGAATATAAATTAAAATCGTTATGGTAATCCTCGGTAGTCTCTTTGCACTATTTTAAATTCAAATTAGACACAATTTCTGCATTGATTAATCCTCTCTCGCGGTCGTGTTCCGCTTATAATGACTGAGGTTCTACCACGCTATCAAAGTACTTAAGTGAAAAAGACGGCTTCATTACGGGCCATTACGCTCAAAAAAAGAAAACAATTCGTGGACGGGTTTTATTCCAGTAATTCAAACAAGCGCGCGGTTATAATAGATACCTATAATAGGTTTAGGGTATCGTTGATGGAGGAATTACCCAAAACTATGCTCAGCCCAAGATTAGCCCGATTTAAATTGCCATTACGGGATTATAACGAAAGTTACGCTCATTCCTGGAATAATTTGAATAACACTGAACCTTACCCGGGTTCTCCCCCTGCCTCCATGTTGTTAGCCAAGGTGACGTCGTTCGACCACACGTCGTACTGCCACTTCCTCAGCCCCAGCACCCCGCACAACACCCGCCCCGAGTGGATTCCCACCCTCATGTTCAGCTGGACGTCGGTGGCTTCCACCACGCTGGCGATGGCGTCGATCATGTCCAGCCCCATCTCGACGGTGCAGTGAGCGTGGTCGGATCGCGGCTCCGGCAACCCAGAGACGCAATAATAGCAGTCCCCCAGGATCTTGATGCGCAAACAGTGGTTATCCTGGAAAAGAAAAAACGCCGCCATAGATCAAGCGAAGTTGCCATTAAAGCGGATCGGAAGAGGCGCTTTATATAAATTTCCTCGCGTTTTCCTTCGTCAGATAAATCGGAATATAAAGCAGGTTCGGCTCGCGAATCTCCATAAATAAAATATTGATACAATGTCTTGAGGAATGAGGGCGGCGGTTAAAAAATGGAGGGGGGTGTTTGGTGACGATTTGCTAAGGCGGTAAAAGGATGGACTTTATCAGGATGTTTATGGCTCATTATGACTGGGTAAAATAAACTGAGAAGTCGTTTCTTTTTTAATGGACTGTTTTTAAGCAAGTGCATAAACTGTTAAAGGACGGATGGGTTTTTATGCGTGCGAAATTTATTATCCTTTTGATCACGGTTTTTATTTAGACTTGGAAAAAATGAATAAATATTTTTAAGTTATTTTTTGTCGCTTCATAATGGAGAAGTGCCACTACAGAATCCATCATACTCTTTCTTTGGGTTTTCTTTATACACGATTCCCCTATTTTCTGATTGATCAAGATTTTCATAACTAGAAGTAAGGGAAATTTATTATTAGTGACAATTTGTTTAATAATACCAAGTTCACTCTCAAAGACTTCATAAAGAATAAAGAAATAAATGGTATGTTAAGTGGTAAATAAACTAGCTTTCAGAAAATTTTTATTTCGTTTAAAGCAACATTAATCAAGCAAAAAAAAGGTGAATTTTTCATTCGTAATCAGATCCATGGCTTATTTAGAAAATCCATATTTCTCTGCAAAAATTCACGATCATAATATTCAGTTTCTTGTTGGGAAAAGAAGACTACGTATATTTAAAAAAAACGGCTAAAGAGAAGGCCCGCCCACCCGCCCTCATCTCACTTCTGATGAACTTTTCATTCATTGTCAGACTGTGGGGCGGAGTTTAATTGCAAAATCTACATTTCACTACGAAATTTTACCCTTTTAAAAACATATTTCGCATGGTAATTTCTTGTAGAGAAATGACGATTTTGCAACTAAGCTCCGCCCCTCGGCTCACGATGAATGAAAAATTCATCACAATCGAGACCTTGCTTATATTTTGTCCATCTTTTCTTAATATACAAAGTTTTCTTTTCCCAACAAGAAACTGAAAACATGTTTAACTATCTTTAAGTTGAAACAAAACTCTATAAAAGAGAAGGCCCACCCAACCGCCCTCATCTCAGTTCGGATGAATTTCTCATTCGTTGTCAGACCAAGGGGCGGAGTTTAATTGCAAAATCTATGTTTCTTTACGGAATTTTACCATTTTAAAAACATATTTCACATGACAAGTTCTTGTAGAGAAATGAGAATTTTGCAACTAAGCTCCGCCATTCGGCTCACGACGAATGAAAAATTCATCACAATTGAGAGCGGGTGGGTGGGCGGGGCTTATATTGAGTCCTTCTTTTCTTAATATATGAAGTTTTTTTTCCTAACAAGAAACTGAAAAAATGGCTAACAATCGTGTTGTCGAAACAAAACTCTATATATTAAGGAGAAAAAAAAAGCAGGATCCATCCGTCTCGATGTCAGTTATGATGAATTTTTCCATCGTTAGCTATGTTATTGTAATCTTTTTGAACCATGTGTACCTTGTTGTTTATCGTTCTTTCCATGTACCAATGTATACTGTAAAGGCTCTTTGCCGTAAATAAACTATTATTATTATTATTATTGTTGTTGTTAGACCGAGGGGCGGAGCGTAATTGCAAAATTCATATTTGCCTACAAAAATTTAGCGATCTGAACAAAATTTTAAGTTTTTTGTTGTGAAAAGAAGACTATGTATATTTAAAAAAAAAGCAACAGTTTTTTAGTTTTTCGATTTTCCAACTCTTGGATGTTTCAATTTTTAGATTTTCTAATTAATTTCAGGAGTTTTCAATTTTTCGATCTTGCAGTTTTTCATGTTTTTGAATTTTTGGATTCGCAATTTTTGGTTATAATGTTAAAAGATTTTTTCTTTCAATTTTTGATTTATTGGATTTTAGAACGTTTTAATTTATTCGATTTTTCAAATGTTCATTTTCTTATTTTTTCAATTTTTAGATTTGCAATTTCTTGATTTAAAATTTTTTGAGTTTCCAATTTTATGTCTTCAAATTTTCGATTTGCGATTTTTCCTCTCGGTTTTTGATTTTTGTTATTTTTACAAATTTTCGATTTTTCAATGTTCCGATTTTATAAATTTTTTTTCAAATTAAATTTTTGTCAGTTTTTTATTCTTGTCGTTTCTTCAATTTTACGATATGCAATACTTCGAGTTTTCATATTTTTGATTTTTTTTTTGGTTTTTCGATTTTCCAACTTTCGGATGTTTCAATTTTTAGATTTTGTAATTAATTTCAGGAGTTTTCAATTTTTCGATCTTGCAGTTTTTGATGTCTTGAATTTTTGGATTCGCAATTTTTCGTTTCGGTTTTTTATTTCCTTCATTATGGTCATAATGTTAAAAGATGTATACTTTGAATTTTTGATTTATTGGATTTTAGAACGTTTTGATTTATTCGATTTTTCAAATTTTCATTTTACTATTTTCTCAATTTTTAGATCTGCAATTTCTTGATTTTCCAATTTTCTGTCTTTAAATTTTCGATTTGCGATTTTTCCTTTCGGTTTTTGATTTTTGTTATTTTTACAAATTTTCGATTTTTCCATGTTCCGATTTTATAATTTTTTGTTTTTCAAATTAAATTTTTGTCAGTTTTTCATTCTTGTCGTTTCTTCAATTTTACGATATGCAATACTTTGAGTTTTCACATTTTTGATTTTTTTAGTTTTTCGATTTCCCAACTTTCGGATGTTTCAATTTTTAGATTTTGTAATTAATTTCAGGAGTTTTCGATTTTTCGATCTTGCAGTTTTTCATGTCTTGAATTTTTGGATTCGCAATTCTTCGTTTCGGTTTTTTATTTCCTTTATTATGGTTACAATATTAAAAGATTTTTACTTTGAATTTTTGATTTATTGGATTTTAGAACGTTTTGATTTATTCGATTTTTCAAATTTTCATTTTCTCAATTTTTAGATCTGCAATTTCTTGATTTTCCAATTTTCTGTCTCTAAATTTTCGATTTGCGATTTGTCCTTTCGATTTTTGATTTTTGTTATTTTTACAAATTTTCGATTTTTCAATGTTCCGATTTTATAATTTTTTTTCAGTTTTTCATTCTTTTCGTTTCTTCAATTTTACGATATGCAACATTTCGAGTTTTCATATTTGTGATTTTTTTAGTTTTTTGATTTTCCAACTTTCGGATGTTTCAATTTTTAGATTTTGTAATTAATTTCAGGAGTTTTCGATTTTTCGATCTTGCAGTTTTTCATGTCTTGAATTTTTGGATTCGCAATTTTTCGTTTCGGTTTTTTATTTCCTTTGTTATGGTTACAATATTAAAAGATTTTTACTTTGAATTTTTGATTTATTGGATTTTAGAACGTTTTGCTTTATTCGATTTTTCAAATTTTCATTTTCTTATTTTCTCAATTTTTAGATTTGCAATTTCTTGATTTTCCAATTTTCTGTCTCTAAATTTTCGATTTGCGATTTTTCCTTTCGATTTTTGATTTTTGTTGGTTTTACAAATTTTCGATTTTTCAATGTTCCGATTTTATAATTTTTTTTTTCAATTTAAATTATTTTCAGTTTTTCATTCTTGTCGTTTCTTCAATTTTACGATCTGCAATACTTCGAGTTTTCATATTTTTGAATTTTTTAGTTTTTCGATTTTCCAACTTTCGGATGTTTCAATTTTTAGATTTTGCAATTAATTTCAGAAGTTTTCAATTTTTCGATCTTGCAGTTTTGCATGTCTTGAATTTTTGAATTGGCAATTTTTCGTTACGGTTTTTTATTTCCTTTATTATGGTTATAACTTATAATGTTAAAAGATTTTTACTTTGAATTTTTGATTTATTGGACTTTGGAACGTTTTCATTTTTTCGATTTTTCAAATTTTCATTTTCTTATTTTCTCAATTTTTAGATTTGCATTTTCTTGATTTAAAATTTTTTGAGTTTCCAATTTTATGTCTTTAAATTTTCGATTTGCGATTTTTCTTTTCGTTTTTGATTTTTGTTGTTTTTACAAATTTTCGACTTTTCAATGTTCCGATTTTATAATTTTTTGTTTTTCAATTTAAATTTTTTTCAGTTTTTCATTCTTTTCGATTCTCCAATTTTACGATATGCAACACTTCGAGTTTTCATATTTTCGATTTTTTTAGTTTTTCGATTTTTCAAATATTTCAATTTTTCGATCTTTGGAGTTCAATTTTTGGAATCGCAATTTTTCGTTTCGGTTTTTTATTTAATTTATTATAATCATAATGTAAAAAAGTTACTTTAAATTTTTCATTTTCTTATTTCCTCAATTCTTAGATTTTGCAATTTTTCGATTTAAAATTTCTTGAATTTCCAGTTTTTCATGTCTTCAAATTTTCGTTTTGCAATTGTTCCTTTCGGCTTTTTTTAAAATTTTCGATTTTTCAATGCTTCGATTTTATAATTTTTTGTTTTTTCAATTTCATTTTTTTCAATTTTTCATTCTTTTCGTTGCCTCTTAAGCTTAACTGCAAAAATACTTATTTCTTTACAAGAAATTGAAACCATGTTCTTGAGTTTCGAGTTGTTCAAAGAATATTATATATATTTAGAAAAAAAAGCAAAATATATAACACGCCCACCCGCCCTATCTTAATTGTGATGATTTTTTCTATTCGCCGTGAAGCAAGGACGGGCGGAGCTTAACTGCAAAAATACTTGTTTCTGTACATGAAATTAAAAACATGTTTTTGAGTATTGTGTTGTTCAAAGAATACTATATATATTATGAAAAAAGGCAAAATATATATAAAAATAGTTTAATTGCACAATCTATATTTCTCTACAAAATTTTACCCTTTTAAAAACATATTTCAGATGACAAGTTCTTGTGGAGAAATGAGGATTTTGCAACTAAGCTTCGCCC